GGAATCAATAAAAAGTGAACCTTGCTCAAGATGAGGAAGAATGAATGATGTATACATTGTCTCCAAGTGTTTAGATGAAATTTTTGACTTAAGGAAAAGAAGAGGGTTGAGCATTTTACTAGTTTTTAAAACAATTCCAATTATATGTTCCTCAAAGTTAAGATGCTCATCGAGTATGACTCCCAGGTGTTTGTGGCTATTGACTCTCTGAATTTCATTATTATTTAGGAGAAGAGGTTGATAGTTTCGTAACTTTGCTCTTGGCTTTTTAAAGATTACCTCCCTTGTTTTGCTAGGTTTAAATTTCATTTTCCATTTATCTGACCATAATTGTATTCTATTTAGATCTGATTGGAGCTTATTGTGAGAGAGTTCAGTGTTTTCATTGTAGGACACTTGGGCATAAATTGAAGTGTCATCTGCATAAATGAAACATGTTGAGTCAAGAATATCCGGAAGGTCATTTATGTACATTAAGAAGAAGATTGGTCCAAGAATGGATCCCTGAGGAACTCCAGAGTTTATATATCCCATTTCAGACCAGCCAGAAAAATTTGAGTTAACTTTTGTTCGTACTCTACGATCCTTTAAGTATGAAGAGAAAAGACTTATAATATTTTCACCAAAACCATATGATTTTATTTTATGAAGTAATAGTTCATGTGGAATTTTGTCAAACGCTGATTCGATATCCAAAAATAGCGATCTTACATCTTTATTATCTTCAAAAGATGTCATTATATAATTAGTAATGCTAAGAAGTTGGTATTCTACACTATGTCCAGGCAGAAATCCAGATTGGTTTTTGAAAAGCAAATGGTTTTCTGTTAAGTGTTTAAGCATTTTCTGATGTATTATTCGTTCACAAAGTTTACCCATTGTATTTAACAGAGTAATTGGTCTATAGTTTGATGAATCAGTCTTAGCGCCTTTGTTTTTGAATATTGGAATAATAACCCCATCTTTCCAGGGTTTCGGAAATTTGTTTTCGTCAAAAATACGGTTAAATAATTTAGACATTGGGGCATCAACTGAGTCAGCCACAAGATTCAACATTTTGTTTGTAATGCCATCTGGGCCCTCAGCTTTTGAGATATCAAGTTGTCTCAAAAATTTGCAAACCTCCACTCTGTCAGTGAATAATGTATTTATTTGGATATTTGATCTAGTTGGAAATACAGGTAAGTCATTGAGATTAAAATTAAAGTCATGGTGAAATTTCTCTAAAAAAATTGATTGAAGACAATTTGCCTTTTGCTCATCTGTCTTGGCTGCATTCATCAAGTTGTTAGAAAATAGGGCAGGTATCTCAGATACAAATCGTTTGCCTAAAAGTTGTTTTATCGTAAGCCAATAAAATTTATCATTTTTATCCTGTACTTGGAGACTATTGCACATATCATTTTCATATGTCATTTTTGCATTTTCTATCAAATTTCGAACTACACCTTTCTGCTCCGAAAGTTCATCTATATGTTTCTTATCATTTGAAGTTTTACATTTTTTATATAACTTGTCGCGCTTGTTTATTGCCTTTTTTATGTCAGAGTTAAACCATGGCATATCATTTGATTTTGTCCGCTTTTCTTTACATGGTATGAAAGCCTTAAATATGCTAAGTAATTTTTCAGTAAAGTTTTGGGTTGCAGAGTCAATATCCCCAGAGTAAATTACATGATCCCAGTCAAAAGTAGAAATATTTTGATTAAGCCTCTGCACGTCACAATTTTTATACTGCCAAACCTTTTTGGAATTAACTTTTTTGATGTTTGCCTTGCTAATGTCTACATTGGTCAAAACTGCGGAATGGTCACTGCCTCCTATAGGTGGTAAAACCTCACTATGCAAGATCTTACCCGGAGCATCAGTAAAAACTAAATCGAGACAAGACTTGGATGTTAAAGTTACTCTAGTGGGTTCATGAATGAGTTCACTAAATGCAAAATCACTCATTGTGTCAAAACGTGCTATACCGGAAGGGGTATCATGATCTTTATCGTAAAAAAGTTTACATTTTGCATTAAAATCTCCATTTAGGAGAATCATGTCATACCGATCTTCTACTCTGATCTTTTGCAGAGTGGATTTTAATCTACTGTTAAATTGATGTATTTCTTCTTTTGATACCAATGAAGGAGAATTATAACATGAACCTATTAAAATGCACTTGTGGTTTATCACTAACTCGACCCATACAATTTCATTTTGATTTGAGAGGTCATGTCTTAAATTGTATGCAATATCACTTTTAATATAAATAATAATACCCCTTCCATGCTCAGGAATAGTTGGATATATTGGCTGATGAAAGTCTTTAATCTGATATTTATCAATGTTGACTGATTTTCCAGCCTCACAGATGCAGACAACATCACAGTTCAATTTCTCTACAACATGCTTTAACTCTGCAAAACGTGTACCCTGATGTGCGGTGATGCTGTTTATATTAAGGGATAAGATTTTCGTAGATTCTTCAAATAGAAGAGGCCCTGGGTGTGTCTCAAGTGTAAGTAACCCCCCCCCCCCCTTGGCAGGCAAAAGCTGGCTATAGGCCTGAGCAACCTTTGTAGTGAAATAGTCAGAAAAGCTCATGTTAAATTGTGTGTTGTCATTTTTTATTTATTGGATATGTACTAGTATATAAAATTACAATTGGGTGACACAAATAATGTGTAAATTATTGTGTTTAGGATCAAGATTACAAAACTATAGAACAAAATTGTACAAAAATAACTATTAGGCCACTAACCCTGACCTCCCTTATAAATTACATTATATTTAAGATGGAGTATCCTAAATCAGACATTAATTGAATGAATATGTTAATATTTAACTCATTGTCTTGCGATAAGTTTTATAAAATACAAGCAACTCTCTATAACCTACATGTACTTGAAGCTTGGCACACAAAATATAACTGCGCAATACAATGTGAAAAGGAAAATCATTTGGTAAGAAATATTTATTTTTTATCATTATTACTAATTATATCATCTTTAATTGAATGAATTGGAACTATTTGAAGCTGAAAGTGACAGCAATGATGTTTTGATTTTCATTGTTATTTTATAGTGTGACTTTTATACACACACTATGGTATCCAAGGCACATGCTTTGTACAGGTTGGGCCAAAAAGCCACTTTTTGAAAACGCAATAACTTCTTTATTTCCCAACCTACATACACCAAATTATGCATTTAGGCCTAGTCGTTTTTCTGATTTGGCAGTATCAGTGAAATGTTAACTATAAATTTCTTTTAACTTGTCCTAATATCCGGCTTCAGTTGGGCAATATTTCGGGATTTGGTGCCTCCCTAATGTTAACCATACCCTATAATCACTGGGGTTTGCATCAGGCGGTATAAGTTTAGGTACATTATGCAAATTATGTTTACCTCTCATGGCACACCACATGTTTAAGTGAGACGCTGGTAACATCTTTAATTCAAGATAAGTAAACAATAATGCATAATGCATGGCCAAATTGCAGCTTCAAGTTTCATTTGGTATGCAACAAATAATGATTTTGATCAAAAATTAAAAAGTCACAGCATTTAAAAAAATAGCATTTTTGGCCCACCCTGTATGAATTTTAGATTGTTAGATTGGATTTTAATAAAATAAAAATATCGGAATGCAATATGTTGGAGGAAATCCTTAACAGAAGATAAGAAGCATGTTGTGGAATGTATCATATAAAAAGAAAATTTAACACCGTTAAAGGGTGACGCATATCGTTTAGCAAATCGAACGCTCGTTTCTGGTATTGCTCACCGTTTAGTATAAAAGGCCCGATCCCGGAATAATACTCAAGGGTTCACAGGTTCGAGGTCGTTGTGTCAACACCTCTAACTGTTATATAGCATAAGTATATAGATCGTCACACATTTATAAAAGGGTGATTTTTATTTTGACAAATCAATTCCACATTTATGGGTGAAGTTTCAGGATCTTCTATTTGTGTATAATAAGGAAAAAATGGCATCTAAATTTCCCCATAACGTATTAGCACACAGCTTGGCATATGAAATATCCTACAAATGAAACAAAGCAAGACAAACAGGTTTCTAATACAAGGCTTTATATTGGCTGTTGTACATGTATTCTTTGAACGCAATCACTCTTTGGATAACGTTTTCAAAATCATTATAAACGGATTACTTTATCTCAAAGACAATTTTAATAAACTGGATTTGACAGAACTCCCCTTATTTCTTAAAAATGGACTGATCCAGTTGATTCGCCTGGAGCCGCCATATTGTTTTTATACGGGATGCTAATCGGAACCCTTTAAACTAAATAACGGCGTTCTTTACTATTAGGAATTATCAGCCACTAAGACACGTCAGATAAAAAACGAGGCCCCAGGCCAGGTCTAATGTTGTTGAACTAATAAAAAGATAACAGATCAAATAAGGACGTAAGATGCAGAAATAGCCTAGAGTTGAAAATGGGAAGAATCGTTTTTTAAATGGTTGTCAAATAACCTCAAAGACCTCAATCTAAGTTATGAAAAGGCCACATAGGTTATTCCAAACAATTTTAGATCCATTCATTACCTATTAATAAAATATATAGTAAATATCTTTATATAAGGTATATAAAATGATAATCAGAAAGCATCTAAAATTGTTTGTTCTTTGGTTGAAAATTAAAAGTGAGATATTTTATCTAAAGCATGGAAAAGAAGCTTTAACATTTACCCAGAAAAATGCCAAAAATATAATTAATTTTAAAATTTCATATCAAAGTTGAAACTTTGTCAACTTAAAGAACATTCAACCAATTTCAATTGCACCAAAAAAGATTTTTCAAACTCTATTCATTAAAAAGGTGTATTGTTAGAATGGTTGCATTTTTGGTAGATCCTGTGTTTAAAAATACATCTAGGGTAAGACTGGAAAATAATTAAAGCCTTAAATCAATTAAAACTGGGACCTGGTTAGCAATTATACTTAGGCCTAAAATGCAAAAATAACATTATTTAAATTTCACAGATCAACCTGGCAATAGAATGGCTAAAGTTCCCCGACTGGACCTTGACAAAATGGCATCTCTGGCATCCATGAGTATAGAAGACCTGGACAGTTCAGAAAAAGTCCTTGCAAAGCAACTGTGCGATTTGACCAAAGAAGTCTTTCGTAATCATGAGAAGGAAGCTGTGACAATGATGGCATTGGGAGACATCTATAAACAGAGATGCCTGAGAAAGTCAGCTGAGAGGGAACATTACACAAAGGCTATAGGTCTCTATACTGGTGCCAAGACCTGCCTCAATAAAGCAACAGAAGCAGGGAAAAAATTTGATCAATACAGTGATCAGATTACAACTTCCTGCGAAGAAGTGAAGCAACTATATCGCAAGCACATCATAAAAAGAGGTCCAAACATGGTAAAACAATGGTCTGCAGCTGGAGAACTGAAGACCTACAGAGACAAACTGAAGATAAAAGTGGAGGATGAGCTTGTTCGTTTGTTTTATGAATGCCCAAAGCCAGAATTCGGGAAAAATCCAGAATATGAAAAAAGACTGAATAAGCAGATCAGGTCCATTTGTGAAGAAAATACAAAATTTGTTAAAGAGTTCACGGCAAAGATGATGTCTGATAGTGTTGCCGAGTGTGGGCCACCCCCCTACAGGTTCACCATGGTTGGCCTAGGTTCCCTAGCCCGGGGAGAAACTACCCCATACTCCGATCTAGAATACATTCTTCTAACAGATGAGGATGACATACACGATGAGTACTTCTTGAATCTACATTACCATTTCCAAATGCAAGTGCTGAGCTTAGGAGAGACCCCTCTACCTACCATTGCTATCAAAAGTCTCAATGATTTCTACAACCCTGATGATTCTAATAATTTCTATGATGATGTCTCAGTCAGCGGTTTTAAATTAGATGGCAACATGCCATGGGCCTCTAAAACACCACCTGGTCATAAAGGAACTCGAAAGAGGAAACCCCTAAAGCTTATAGGAACACCTAAATACATGGCAAAATTAAGCACAACTGAGGCAGACAAGAATAATGGTTACCACCTAGCAACCATTATCTCCACAGCAACCAGGATCATGGGAGATGAGAAGCTGTTTCAAGAGTTCAAGCAACAGTTAGCCAGAGTACGAGCTGATGAAAACCAGGATTCTATTTTGAAAGCCTGTATAAAACGAATGAAAGCTGACTGTAAAAAATATAAGTGTGTCATAAATGATGACAGTTTAAGGAGCAGAAATGCAAAACAAGATTATTACAGATTTCCATCAACTTTGATCTCAAACTTAAAAGACCTATATGGCATTGATAAAACATCTCCATGGGAAATAATAGATGAATTACAGGATAAAATACATGTAGGTGGTGAAACCTGTTCTGACTTGGCATTCATGATCAATACAGTCATAGGAATTAGAATGTATACATACTGCACAAAGAATCAGCAACATGAGCTTATCCAAGTAAATCAGGATTTATTCCCTGATAATTCTATTCAAGATGTAGTGCCATCTATTAGAACAAGCAATATTTCAAGAGAGAAATTACCAATCCCCTTTACCAACTTTTTACAGCACTATTTCCTCAGGTACATGAGTGCATCCATATCTGTCCCTGCACAACTAGAAAAGCCACTCACACTGAGCTCAAGTGGTGCACCAGAGTTGATGCAGACATGTCCCATGTACTGCATGTGTAAACTGTGTCTCCTACATGTGAAGCTACTCACATGTGTTGGGCCTGATGATACTATTGATAACCCAAGTGTTGTGCTAGAATCTGTGAAAAGATCATGGCATTATAAAATACAACCAGTCACAAGGAAGACAGTATTCAATGTTGTAGAGTACTGTCATTACCTGAGAGGTGATCATTCATCTAGACTAAAGTTATTCCAGGCTGAAGTACAGTCTGAGGATATGACCAGTGATGTTAAAGCAGTGTATTTATGTAGAATAGCTCAATGTCATTACAGACTGAAAGACTACTCAGCAGCATTAAGTTCTGTTGAGGAATCTATCAAACTGACTCCACACAGTGAGCTACTGAGGCCCATGATAGTCAAGATTTGGATCTTACATGACATGAATGAGTATACACAACTGAGAAGTTGCTGTGAAACATGTATAAACATCCAGTCACAATGTGAGCCTCGTATAAATACAAACACTGACAAACTGGAGATACATTACTATTACTCTGCTACTCTCATACACTTTAAAGAGTATGAGGCTGCATTGGAGTCCCTGATCAAGGCTAAGCCTCTGTGTAGTGAGGTGTTGGGGGAGTCACATTGGATGTACAAAGGCATTCTCCAGAGAATGCTCACCTGCTACACAGCTCTAGGAAGAGAAACAGAGGCAGGAAAGATCAAGAGCATGATAACTAAATGTAAATAGAATAAAAAACATGTTACAATGTTCAATCAAGATGTACAAAACTGTTCCCATACTGAGAAATATACATATTCTAATTGTGCAAAGTATGACACAATATTTATCAACTCTGAACTCTTTGACTTGGAAATGAATTAATGTGCAGTACAGTATGTTTACATTACAGAACAAACCGTAAGTAGCCTGTGAATTATCTTTTTATGTATTGCATAAATAAAACAGAAACAAGAATATCAGCTCTGAATTCCTTGACTTGACTTGAAAGAAATTAAATGCAGTAAGTATACATTATATAACATAACTTATATTTTTATGTAATGCATAATAAAACAGAAACGAGAACAAAATGAATACAGAGAGTTACCACATTACAACAGTTATTTCCCATGGAGAGATGTATTCTAATGCCAAACGGGTCTTTTATAAGAATTTGTACTTCTCTATTTATATTAACTTTTAGGTAATTTGAACATCACAGCTAGCTTTTAGGTAAAATTAACGAAATATCTTACAAGCAGACTTTAATAAAAAGGAGATATTAGAGAGTTTAAGCTATGAGATAAGGTAACCGTGAACTCAAAGCCAATGAATCAATACAGTAATGTATATAGCGCACATACAAAACAAGCGCTACTTAGTCTACTTCAGATACCCAATCAGCTTCAGTTTCATGTTTAGAACAGGAGATTTGCAATTTCGCGTTGGTGTCAATGGGAATCATTATATTCATGTCTGTTGAATACTATGCTGGCAATTCTGATTTTGATGCGCTGTATAATACTTTCTGAAGAAAATGATGTATGTCATATATGTTTTATATATGCTCCAAATATCTTACGAAATAAGCTTGTATATCATAGAAATGAGCTTGTATGTATCATAGAAAACTATCAATGGCATATTACACAATGATGTGTAGTCTAAATAATGGACTAAGTAAACACTAGTGTAACTGAACGATTATTTATGTGAGAAAACTACATGCATTTGTATAGGGCAACTTATGCTTACAGGTTGATGTTTCGACTTTATATGCATTGCTTAAAGTCTCCAATATCATGTTTCTTTACTTTGAATTACAGTAAAACCTCTTTTATTCAATGCCTCTGGATTCTGTAACCAGCAAAAAGTGTTCAGATCGGGAGGTGTTCACATTTCAAGGTTTTATAAACATGTAAGTCAATGGGAGAAAGTGTTCACATTGAGAGGTGTTTGGATATACAGGTTTCACTGTACTGGACTATTATGTAACATTGCTATACAGTATTTTTTTAAATGAGAAAAAATATGATTTGAAATGGAATGTGATATTCTATTGAGATAGTCTGGTCCCAATTTCTTAATTGTACAATGTAATAGCCGTTTGGTTGGAAAATTTTTAATGGCAATTACCCACATTATATCCATTTAAAGAAATGTAAATTAGAAAACTCTTTACATCTATAGCTTTTTCAAATCATTTTGGAATGGGCTAAATATTACAAAGAGACCCATACAAATGATGATACTGTTAGCTAACTTAATTTGGTGTGATTTAATTTGGCGAATCGGGCAAAAATGGAAATTAGCGAAGATTTAATTTGGCAAATTTAATAGCCTAAGAATAAATAACTTTGACAGGAGTAAGCCGAATTAATGATCGTCATTAAAATAAGCTGGTTGATAAAAATCGAAAAAAGGAAGCCAATGTGGGGAATAAAATTGAAGCAACATGCGCTGTTTAAATATAATAACAATGGCGCAGATAACTGAATGTGCATTTACACTGGACAAAGAGAATTCCCAGGAGTTTCTGAAAAATTGATGAAGATATCAATAGGCCAATTTTTGCCGTTCGCCAAATTCAGTTGACTAACAGTATAAGATCTACATAAATGTATATTAACACAAAAAAATTAAGGGAATATATCATCTATAATTGTATTTTATCTAAACAGTATGCACATGTCATGTAAATCTGTTGTTTAATATAGTTTGATTTTGTAAAAAAATATCTCAAAATGTTTTGCACTATTTTACATATGATCCATTCTGAAAAACTCAGATCACCCTTCTACCTAAAATTAAATGGAAGATGATTTCTGAAAACTCCCCAGAATAGCAATTATCACATACTATGTAAAATTCCAGTAATCTGATTGGTTGGTTGCTGTGTGAGCTTTCCCATCTCACACGATACTAGAGGCAACCAGGGATGACGTTTCATATTTTTGCCTTGGATACTGTTGATGACATCATTATAAACGGGTATACAAGGAATAAATGAGTTCATGACGTAATAGTGTAATATTTTTGATTGTTTGCTATTGATTGTTATTGGCTGTTTTTCATCTAATGAGAAGTAGCCGCGTACCTATTGCCCAATCAATCAAAGAATTTTACGTAGTATGTGATAAAATCGTCATCACGCGTTTCAGCGTGTGATATGGGAAATCTTCCATGAAAGTAAAATTGTATCACCACGAAAGCGAAGCATGAAAATTCTGATAATCCCACAAAACATGTTTTATCAAATCACTCACCATTTTGAACACAACATGAAAGAAATAACCAGGTGGAGGCTATATAGAGGTTAATTACTGGGAGGGATATGAATTTTATTCCGAATATCAATTCTACTCCCTGTTTATTTCCCAGGGAAAACATGTTTTTTATGGAATAAATAGTATTATTGTCTCATTTTTGCAAACCTTTCTTCCATGATGTCAAATCATTTCGTATAATGAATTCTTTCCTGCCAAGATGAAGAAAAAACAGATGTGAAAGACTATTTATATTCTGCAATCCTTTCTGCAATATTTTTACAAACAAGACCCATTAACTCTATCAGTCTGCCATCAGGTATGCTACTAGTTAAACTACAAACTGTGCAAAATGCAACCAAGCTCCCAGTAACTCTGGCTCTTATTGGTTACAATTTTTTATTATACAGCCAATTTTTTTTTTTTTTTTTTATTTCTGTTTATTAAGTCATGTTACAAATACATTTTCAATGTTACAATTACATGATAGTGTCACATATTTTCCAAAATTGTGGGTAAAATACATTTTTTCTTATAGCTATTTCCTTCTTCAAAGAGTGTAATATAACATCTAAATTTCTGACATTATTGTCATTTATCTGTCCTAGGTAAACCTTATAAATTGTATATGTAATTACACTGACAATATAGTTAAGAAATTTAGTGAAATCATCATTGCCATTATAACCTAAAATAATTTTTCTATAAGTTATTCTAAGTTTTGATTTATCTTGTATGAAGTTCCAGACACTCCTGGCCAAAACACAATAAAAAAATAAATGTTTTACTGAATCAGGATTTCCACAAATATCACAACTATAATTTTCTGTTTTACCAAATATAAAAAGCTCACGTTTACTGGGTAATATTCTATTAATTATTTTATAGTTAAAGTTGGCAATTTTGGTTTCTTTACAATTTATTTTGGTGTCAAAAAAATTATTCCAATTAATTTCATCAATACATTCATCTTTTTTGTAACAAAATTGCTTTTCCCATGTATCTTTCATATACCACTTTTCTGCCTTATTTGCTCTTAAAATGTCATAGAAAAATTTAGATTTCTGATGATTCACATCTATTGTTTTATTTTCAAACTTAAACTTAAATCTTTTAGGAATATTTGTATAGTTTGAGCTTTGTATATCAATCATATTTTTTATAGATTTAATTGCATTTTGTACCTGATAAAATTCAGAAATCCAATTTTGCTTATTGACAAGTTTCTGATAAATTAAATCAATATCAAGCAGGCAGTTTTGCATTATTAAGTCTTTAATATATATTATTCCACTTTCTATCCAATGAGGAAAGAAAATTGGGTTTATTTTTTTATGGTGAAAAGTTTATTTCCCCATATTATTTCTTGTAAAATGTCACTTTGTTTCATTTCTGATACCTCCTTAATAGTTTTACATTTACAATGAGATTGAATGACTTGTTGGTAAAATAAAGGAATTGTTTTAAATTCTTTAAAATCAACATCATTTATATTTAGTAAATTGTAATATTTTGGGAAAAGTCTTTCAAAGTAAAAGTAAGGAACTTTATTAAACATATTTTTTTCATCAAACAATCGTGGAATCCATGCTGCTTTAAGTGCAAACAACTGGGATTCAAAATCAATCATGTTTAATCCTCCTTTATTTTTAGGGTTGATAATAATAGTCCTTCGTATTTTATCATTTTTATTTCCCCATAAAAATTTGAATATTAAGCCAGTTACAATTTTCGTTATGTCAATTGGTATTGATAGGACTGATGCTACATGTATTAGTTTGGGTATTGCTAATGATTTTATAACTGTTACTTTCCCCATTAAAGTAAGTTTACGTTTCTTCCATGAGTCAAGTAATTTATCTAATTTATTTACATTATCGTCCCAATTCAGTTTATGACATTTCTCTTTATTGTGTCCTATATAAACACCCAAATATTTAATTAATTTATTTATTATACAGCCAATTAATTATGGCAGCAATAGGAGTCTGGTTGCAGTTTACACGACCCGTTAAACTGTCATTCCCTTGATGCCTGCTGACAGGTAGACAATCAAAACAAATTGTTATTATTGAAAATAGCAGTCACATATGCAAACCAATAAAATGGCCTGGACTGCTATGAGTTAACTGGGCTCTAGTTTGTAAGCCCAACAGACATCAATAAGCATTAGGGGTCACACGGTTTGAGATTTCACGGTTCGGTTCGGTGATTGTATTTCACAGTTCGGTTCAGTTCTGATTGCGGTTCTCACGGGCCTCGTGAAATGAGCAAAAATATATGAAATTGATCCGAAAATCAGAAAACATACTAAGTGTGTCACAGTGTTTTATTGTATTCAGTATTGTAAGTATCCAGTTTCACACAATGTTTGTTTGTTTGTTCAGTCTTTTTTCCCTCCCTCCCTCCCAAAATATCTGTGTGTTCACTGTGTTGATCTTCTTGTTTGATGTTCAAGTTTTTTCAACACATAAAATAACTTGTCAACTGTTGGCAAAATTAGCACAGTACTTCACTAAACTGAATAAATGTTTTCTTTAGAAATATAACTTAAGTTCAACACTTTGTCAGGACTCAACATGGATCAAAGGCGAACGTAATACACAGAACGTGACTCGTTCGCAAATTCAATGCATTCGGCGTTCGGCTTTTTACAGTATACTGTTCTATCAACCAATAGGATTGCGCGAAATGTTTAGCGTAGGTCACTTCCGGGTCAATATGCCGGTGAAATTTATCAACATTTTCCTTTTGTTTTTGTTATCTGCCGTCTATATCAGAAGATCGTCGTAAATATCAGGTATGGTTCGCATTATTGCATGATGATTAACCATTCCAGACGATGTTTAGTTAATTGGTATGACACGAAAGCTTGAAATGGAGTTTAATTCCGAGTTTACATTTTTATTTTTCTGAAGTGAAACTGAAAATGTCACGGTTCTTCAAGTACCGCGGTTTTCAAGATTGTGTGCGAGCTAACCGTCGTGGGGGTATGAACCGCGGTAACCGCAAGCCACGGTTAACCGTGTGACCCCTAGTATATGTTGGGCTTAAGAATCTGAGATCAAAATAGTCAAAATTGTACTATGGAACAGTAGCAACATTTTCCTATGAAAAATTGTTGATCCCCACTAATAAATTATCTCATCAGAATGCCTGACTGTCATATTGACTTGTGAGGCTGATTTGTCATTTAATGATGCTAATTTATCTAATTTAAATGCTAATTTATTTCATTGTGAAGTTGATTTATCTCACTGTTAAGCCAATTTATTGTATTATGTAACTCATTTACTGTAAAACGGGTAATTTTGACACCATGAAATTTTAGTGATTTTTCAATTTTAGGGGGTTTTAGCGCGGGAAATTTTAGCGAAATGAAGATTAATCTTTAAAAAATCAAATTAGCGAAATGCATTAGAAATTTTATCATTTATGGCAGAAGAATAAATAACGGAATGTAAGACTTCTAACGCATATGGTATTGGTCCAAACTACTGTAATCTCATCTGACTAATCACAAAATCATGGTAGCATTTAAAATCGTTGATTTTTCGGTCCAAACTAATCTCATCTGACTCACCAGAAGTCAAGCACTGAATGAAAAGCTCCTTAAATAGTAGTATTCATGTAGTTTCCCGGGAATTTGCAAATTTTAGCGCCCGGTTTATTTTAACCCCGGTTATTTAAGCGAATTGAATTTTTAGCGAAACTTTAGCGATCACTAACAATCGCTAACAATTACCCCTCGCTAACAATATCCGTTTTACAGTATATCATCAAGACCATGATTTTTATCTCGTTGTGATTCTATCTAAAGCCATTGTGATGCTGGTTTATTACATAGCTATCCCGATTTATTCATCCCATTGTGATTTATATCATCGCAATGCTCATTTATTCCATTGTGATGCTGATTTATCTCATTGTGATGTATATTTATATCATTGCAATGCTCATTTATTCCATTGTGAAGCTGATTTATTTAATTGCAGCATTCATTTATCTCATTGTGACTAATTCCTCTGATGACGTTGGATGTATAGCTACTGCGCTATCAAAGTCCTTCTTTGTTGCTCCCATCTTAATGGCAACTGAGAAACCTTGTAACATTTCATCACAGCCTTGGCCTATCATGTGTAGACCCACAACCTGTAATATATACATGTAAATAAATTGTAGCATTTCATCACATCCTTGGCCTATCATGTGTAGACCTAAAACCTGAAATATATACATGTAAATAAATTGTAGCATTTCATCACATCCTTGGCCTATCATGTGTAGACCTAAAACCTGAAATATATACATGTAAATAAATTGTAGCATTTCATCACATCCTTGGCCTATCATGTGTAGACCTACAACCTGAAATATATACATGTAAATGAATTGTAGCATTTCATCACATCCTTGGCCTATCATATGTAGACCTACAACCTGAAATATATACATGTAAATAAATTGTAGCATTTCATCACATCCTTGGCCTATCATGTGTAGACCTACAACCTGAAATATATACATGTAAATAAAGTGTAGCATTTCATCACATCCTTGGCCTATCATATGTAGACCTACAACCTGAAATATATACATGTAAATAAATTGTAGCATTTCAACACATCCTTGGCCTATCATGTGTAGACCTACAACCTGAATTATGTACATGTTAATAAATTGTAGCATTTCATCACATCATTGGCTTATCATGTGTAGACCTACAACCTGAAATATATACATGTAAATAAATTGTAGCATTTCATCACATCCTTGGCCTATCATGTGTAGACCTACAACCTGAAATATATACATGTAAATGAATTGTAGCATTTCATCACATCCTTGGCCTATCATATGTAGACCTACAACCTGAAATATATACATGTAAATAAATTGTAGCATTTCATCACATTCTTGGCCTATCATGTTTGAAACTGAAATCAGGGTTCACAAAATTTGTTTTTTATTATTTTTGACAATTATGAAGTCTTTAATTGTTTGTTAGCCAGATGAAGATAGAAATTAAGGCCAACTTACTCCTACATCTGAAATGAACACTAGGGGAGACATGAAGAGATCAATGTCGGTTTAGAAACTTAACCAATTAGTATTACCTCTGACCCCCCCCTCAAAACCTAATTCTTTTCACAATGCATTTACCTTTTCTTCTGGCAGAGCACATATCAACTTCATGTGACATTTCACTTTACGTTCTGTCACTGCGTAATACATGGGAGTGAATGATGACTTGTATTACCTCTTACCCCACCCCCCCTCAAAACCTAATTCTTTTCACAATGCATTTACCTTTTCTTCTGGCAGAGCACATATCAACTTCATGTGACATTTCACTTTACGTTCTGTCACAGCGTAATACATGGGGGTGAATAATGGCTTGTATTACATCTGTCCCCACCCCCCCTCAAAACCTAATTCTTTTCACAATGCATTTACCTTTTCTTCTGGCAGAGCACATATCAACTTCATGTGACATTTCACTTTACGTTCTGTCACTGCGTAATACATGGTGGGAGTGAATGATGACTTGTATTACCTCTGACCCCACCCCCACCCCCCCCCCCCCCCTTCAAAACCTAATTCTTTTCACAATTCATTTACCTTTTCTTCTGGCAGAGCACATATCAACTTCATGTGACATTTCACTTTACGTTCTGTCACTGCGTAATACATGGGGGTGAATGATGACTTGTAAATCTTAAGGTTTTCAGCTCCATACTTGGCTGCGGCTTCAGCTAGAAATATGAATATAGAAAATATGAGAATACATTATATATTTCATGGTTTCACTAAAAACAGAATGAAATATTTGATTTATTATTATCAGAATAAACAAGCCCAGAAATAAGAATATAGAAAATATGGAACAAACATATTTCCACATGTATGATTTCCCAAAGGCAGAATGGAATATTTTTGATTGATTATTATAATAATAAGGCATTAACATCCAAAATGTCACCATGTGCCATTTGTACCAGACACCGACCACCAAACACCAACTGCTGAACACCATCCACTTGTGGTGGTGACTTAAAAAAGGCATCAAGTTTATTACCTTCTGTCATTCCTATGGTGCCAACTGGGGGATGACTAAATACAACTGTTGGAATGTTCTCATAATCCAACCTCCATGTTGGTTTGTTGTCAAACAGTCTGTGAGCAAGTTTTCTTCCTGCTGCTATAGCAACTGAAAATGGAGTAAAAAGTGAGCAACTGTTTTCTTCTTGTTGCAATAGCAACTGCGAATCGAGAAAGTGAGCAATTAAACTTTCTCCATGGTGCAAATTAGAAACTGAAAATGGAAAGTGAATGGAGATGCGAATTTTCCTGATGTTGCCATAGCAAATGGAAACAAATAAAAAGTGAGAAATACTGTAGGTACACTTAATTTGGCTACCGTTTTAATTTGACATCTGCCAAATTAAAAATCCGCCAATTTTCAGATTGGAAAATCCCCAGGAAATTTGTAATTTGAAATTATTTCACTTGTGTAAGTATTCCTATTTGGATGTCAGTGCTATACCAAGACTTACTGTAAGTAGAACACATGAATATGAAATGCTTATTTACAGATCAACAATAAAACTTAAGCCCAGTCCTAACTCCGATTTAAATAGCTGCCAATATTTGATATTGAGCGAATCTGCCAAATTAAGTAGTGTCAAATATTAAGTGTTCTACAGTACACATATTTCTCAACATCAGCTGGAGTGCTTATCAAATTGAAATGAAAACACCATAAATGATACTGACTTGTGTACATTGTGTATGTTATATTTTGACAACAAAAAAGCTGATTTATCCAAAATGAATCAAAAGCAAGAGCTTGGACCAATGGTATACAGTACATTAACAACATACACCAACATAGAATCGATATGATTTTAAGTTCAGAAGAACGGCATATTCATTCATCCCAAAGACAAAGGGACAAATACAATGAGTGGTTGATGTGATATATGTATAATCATATAATACAGTATTATGGACCAATTAATAATATACCTGGAGTTAAAAGTGCCTTTCCACATACATCACCAAGGGCATATATGTTTTTAGCTGACGTATTCTGGAATTCATCTACTTTAATGTTCCCTTTACCATCTAGCTCAACTCCCTTGAAATAAAAGAGCAATTTATCAAATCCTGAACCAAATAATACAGGGTGGGCCACAAAATGGATCTCTTACATATACAGTAAAACCTGTCTAAATCCGAACGCCTCTGAGACCAGCAAAAAGTGTTCAGATGACGGGATTAGTAGGTGTTCACATTTCAAGGTTTTATAAACATGTAACTGTGTAAGTCAATGGTAGAAAATAATTTTGGACATAGAAAAGTGTTTCTTTTGAGAGGTTTTCAGATTAGAGAATATACAGGTTTCATTGTATTCTATTTGAGAGTGTATATAACCACATGGTTCAGCTTTGTTCAGCAGTGTACCCACTTTATGGGCCACCCTGTAAATATGTAAAGTTTTCAGTACTGCAAATTGAATTTCTCACTCATTTTCTATTGCATTTTAAAAATAAAGTGGGTTTTCACTGGGAATTGCCTATACTATGATTACAATTACATATATGTATTATACATTTAATTACGTGCTTGCATAAGAATAATATTTCAAATCTTACCACTTCATCTAGACCTATTTCTGCATTCGGCACCCTGCCTATTGCCCATAAAAGACAGCTAACATCTGGAATAGTACCTGAGTTGGTCTCTAATGTCATTAGACCTGAGTTAGCGTCCTTTGTAACACTTTGAGTCTGAAATAAAAATGTTTTCAATGTTTTCATTTTTTGGAGAAAACAAATAAAATAGAGTTGATACAATTTCCAGAGTAGATTACTTTATACATTTTGTGTTACATCAATACAAATGTATCAATGGAAAGCAGCATAGCTATATTTATTGTTATGTACCCAAAAATGGAAAAATATGTTATGTACCTACAAGTGAAATAATCCTTATCAGACACAGACCACACAGACATTCATCTCGAACACTAGTTATGAAAATGGAGGCTAATCAAATTACAATACGTCACCATTTCTTGGTGGCATTAGAAAAACAGTATACAGGAAAAACCTTTCTAATCTAAACACCTCTGGGACTAGTTCAACAAGTTAACCCAATACCACGGCTTTCATTTATTAATCTGAATGTTCTTGTTGCCGTGATTGGGTTTAACTTCCGTGCTATGCTTTCATTGGTTGCAAATTCTCACTATCAGTTATTAATAAAGCGCGCATGGAATTTCATGCACTGCCACAGGCCACCATTAAATATTTTGCATTAAGGGCCGAATAGGCACGAACGTTAAACCTAGGGTGGGCCACAAGATATGTCAGATAAGAAATAAGGCCCAGACTAGGTTTAACTTGTTGAGCTACTCTGGGACTTGCCAAGAGTGTTCAGAATCGCAGTGATGTACACATTTCAAAGTTTCTTGATAGGAGTTAAAAAATTTGGGATCAAGAGGTGTTCACACTGATATGTGTTCAAATATACAGGTTTTACTGCACAAACTTTACCTGAGTTCTCCTAAGTAGGTTAACTCCTATATTTTCCAACTCATCAGTAACAGCCGTGGATATCATATCATCAAAATTTCTGAGTACCTATGAAAAATGTACAATAATATGTAGGGTGATTATATTGTAAGACTGGAATAGAAAGGAGCGTAATTTGCTAGAAATGCTGTGAACCCACTGAATAGCCACACTGATAGATATATCTGTCATAGAATATCTCACTAAAATGTCTTTAACATTTTAACTTACACAAAATATGTATTAAAATGTGTGTAATTTTTCATGATTATCGAATATTGTATATCAAGATAGAACTATACGGCAAAAGCACAAAATGAAAAATTCCTTTGGTATTCAAACAGTTTAACAGACTTGAAGTTAATTTGCCTTGATCTTATGGTGTTAGGGACATTAAACATATACTTTAATTTGAATCGCTTTAAAAGGTGCTGAAAATGTGATGATGTCATGGTTTTCTGACTGCAGATATAGTCTTATTGGTTAAGGCTAAATCAAAGAACTCTTTAATTTAGAGAGTGCATATTAGATGAGGGTCTTACACAGGGTAGCCTACCTTATCATATCTGATCATAAGAGTGTATATAAGATGAAGGTCTTGCACAGGGTAGCCTACCTTATCATATCTGATCATAAGAGTGTATATAAGATGAAGGTCTTGCACAGGGTAGCCTACCTTATCATATCTGATCATAAGAGAAACATCAGAACCAAGAGTCTTTAGAATTCCTGCTAGTTCTACTGCTATATAACCGGCACCTACTACCACAGTCTTTCTAAAATATTCAATATTTACAATTGGCATCATTTTGATAAATTGTTTTATTATTTATTTAATATTTGGAAATTGATTTTTAAAAATCATTTTTAAATGACATATTGAGTCTTTCTGAAATATGTAACATTTATGATATGATAGAGGGGAACTTTTTCATGAAAAATTGAGAAAATTCAAAGTGATTCTATAAACATATCATATGCTAAATTTACTGACAGCCATTTTTACTCAAGTAATGGTACACTTTCTCTTGAGATTGTACAACAGAAATAAAAAGGGGGATAGTAGACTGATAAATTGAGAGGTAAGACAGTATTGTAGATAGAGATGGATACAGTCAGATAAAGTTTATCTGTAAAGATCCATCTAGATACTGAACCTATATGTACATTTATCCTATGCCAAGTAGAGTTTTAGGGAGATAAGTTGGTAAGATATATCCCGTATTGAGGTTTCCATATCCTGAACCTCCATATCTCCCGCCATATCTCCCGCTCCAGCACATATCTTCCCGCTTCGAAAATTTTTTTTTTAATTTTTTTTTAAAAATTGAAAAAAAGAAAAAATGTGAAAAAAAATTTAAAAAATTAAAATTTGAAAAAAATTGAAAACATTGAAAAAAATTTGAAAAATGTGAAAAAAATTGAAAAAATCGAAAGAAAATTAGAAAACTCTACTTGGTATAGGATAAAGCAGTTATGTACGGTCGGTTTGGATATTGGGTTCATCCCTCGTGAGATATGCACATCTACCTTCGGTCCCTACGGTCCCTCAGGTAGATATGCATATCTCCCTCTGGATAAACCCCATATCCAAAACCTCCCAGTACATAACCCTTATGTATTTGGACATCAACTCTGACACTGAAGCTATATCAACATCGATATTGATACTGTATCAATGTTTTCAAAAGAGAAAAATGTAAAATTAAGAATTGAATGAATACATACTTTGGTAGAGACTCCAGTTCAAAGAATCCATCACTATCAATTCCATGTTCTGCACCTGAAATTAAAGCCAAGCATTGAATTAACAGTGAAAAATATTTTGGCGGTCATGTTTTAAATGCAAAATGGAATTTCAAGAGTGGAATAAACAAGGAATAAAGTACACAGGCATGTTATGTAGATAACTCATTAATACATTGTATTGTATAGAAATGTAGATTATCAGATTGTACAATATATGTATGATTGCATAGATTGAATGTATTTGTTTGAATGTATTTGTTTGAATGTATAGATTGTGTATATTGCTGCTGCTGTCCCTAGCTGTGAGAAGCGCTTCTCACATCTGGTAGGTCTAAAATTCAAATTAACGTTTTTTTTGTTCTCTTCTAATAAAGTACAATACCTGTGTTAGTGATCTTCATTTGTATGTTCTGAATGTATAAATACCAGGAATGTTAACTGGACTTGGGCGCCCCCCTGTGGCAATAAGGATGTGTTCTGCTGAGTATTCCTAACCCTCAACTTCAACACAGTTGCCTTATACATACCTGGGATGTTTACTGGGGTAGGACGCCCCCCTGTGGCAATAAGGATGTGTTCTGCTGAGTATTTCTGACCCTCAACTTCAACACAGTTGCCTTATACATACCTGGAATGCTCACTGGGGTAGGGCGCCCCCCTGTTGCAATAATGATGTGTTCTGCTGAGTATTTCTGACCCTCAACTTCAACACAGTTGCCTTATACATACCTGGGATGTTTACTGGGGTAGGGCGCCCCCTGTGGCAATAAGGATGTGTTCTGCTGAGTATTTCTGACCCTCAACTTAAACACAATTGCCTTATACATACCTGGGATGTTTACTGGGGTAGGGCGCCCCTGTGGCAATAAGGATGTGTTCTGCTGAGTATTTTTGACCCTCAACTTCAACACAGTTGCCTTATTCATACCTGGAATGCTTACTGGGGTAGGGCGCTCCCCTGTGGCAATAAGGATGTGTTCTGCTGAGTATTTCTGACCCTCAACTTCAACACAGTTGCCTTATACATACCTGGAATGCTTACTGGGGTAAGGCGCTCCCCTGTGGCAATAAGGATGTGTTCTGCTGAGTATTTCTGACCCTCAACTTCAACACAGTTGCCTTATACATACCTGGGATGTTTACTGGGGTAAGACGCCCCCTGTGGCAATAAGGATGTGTTCTGCTGAGTATTTCTGACCCTCAACTTCAACACAGTTGCCTTATACATACCTGGGATGTTTACTGGGGTAGGACGCCCCCCTGTGGCAATAAGGATGTGTTCTGCTGAGTATTTGTGACCTTCAACTTCAACACAGTTGCCTTATACATACCTGGAATGCTTACTGGGGTAGGACGCCCCCCTGTGGCAATAAGGATGTGTTCTGCTGAGTATTTCTGACCCTCAACTTAGACACAATTGCCTTATACATACCTGGGATGTTTACTGGGGTAGGGCGCCCCCTGTGGCAATAAGGATGTGTTCTGCTGAGTATTTCTGACCCTCAACTTAAACACAATTGCCTTATACATACCTGGGATGTTTACTGTGGTAGGGCGCCCCTGTGGCAATAAGGATGTGTTCTGCTGAGTATTTCTGACCCCCAACTTCAACACAGTTGCCTTATACATACCTGGAATGCTCACTGGGGTAGGGCGCCCCCCTGTTGCAATAATGATGTGTTCTGCTGAGTATTTCTGACCCTCAACTTCAACACAGTTGCCTTATACATACCTGGGATGTTTACTGGGGTAGGACGCCCCCTGTGGCAATAAGGATGTGTTCTGCTGAGTATTTCTGTCCCTCAACTTCAACACAGTTGCCTTATACATACCTGGAATGTTTACTGGGGTAGGACGCCCCCCTGTGGCAATAAGGATGTGTTCTGCTGAGTATTTCTGACCCTCAACTTCAAAACAGTTGCCTTATACATACCTGGGATGTTTACTGGGGTAGGACGCCCCTGTGGCAATAAGTATGTGTTCTGCTGAGTATTTTTGACCCTCAACTTCAACACAGTTGCCTTATACATACCTGGGATGTTTACTGGGGTAGGACGCCCCCCTGTGGCAATAAGGATGTGTTCTGCTGAGTATTTCTGTCCCTCAACTTCAACACAGTTGCCTTCTGTAAACTTTGCATCACCAAGAATTGTTTCAACTTTGCTCTGAAAATAAATTTTCATTTTTAAATCTGTTTTGTAAAAGGTACACAAGGGCTGTGTAAAAAATATCAACAGTTATGAGGTCTAATTATTAACATAGAAAAATGTTTCATTCCACAACAGTAGGGAAGAAATGTTGATTTTTTCATATGAAATTCAATTGAACAGCAATCAATATTTTTCATTTTATTATACTTGCTAAAAAGGGTTTTCCACAATTTTCAACATATGAACATTGTCCCTACATTACCAACACGTCTTCATACTATCATTACTTTGCTAAAGTGAAGTTTGAAAGATGATGTGATTATCTGTACATGTATTATCTGCCGCAGTGGCACGTTTCTTATATAAGGGAATTTTCCTTATACAAAGATATGTTTCTTTCACACAGATAAACTTCTAACACCAGGGCAAGCTTCTCATAAAAGGTAATGCTATGTTTCTTATGCAGACATGCTTTTAACACCAGGACATCTTTCTTGTGCAGACATGTTACTAACACCAGGGCATGGCATGCATCTCCAAGAAGGTCATGCTATGTTTCTTATGCAGACATGTTTCTACAAGGGCATGATTCTCACAAAAGATCATGCTATGCTTCTGTTGCAGACATGTTTCTAACACAAGGTCATGCTATGTTTCTTATTCAGACATGTTTCTAACACCAGGGCATGCTTCTCACAGAAGGTCATGCTATGTTTCTTATGCAAATTGCATATATGTTTCTCACACAAGGACATGCTTCTCACAAAAGGTCATGCTATGTTTCTTATGCTGACATGTTTCCAACATAAGGTCGTGTTTTTTAATACAAGGGCATATTTCTTACATAGGGGCATGCTTACAGCATAGGAGGATGTATCTTACATAAAGTCATGTTTCATATAAATTGTACTCACACCATCTAAGTTTCTTTGGTAGATTCCATTCAGCCTCTTTATATAATCATCTCTAGTTTTTTTGATGACACTACAAAAAATATTTTATAGTCAATTAAATACATACATGAATTTAAAGTTTAACGTAATATCAACATTTTAACTATATCATATTTTCCTGCAAAATATAGAACCTCAATCCCATAATTTTGATAGTAAGCTTCACTATGTAATTGTCTTAATACTAATTTGTAAAATAAAATAAATTATAAATAAAAAAAAGTAAAAAAAATTATCTTCTCTTACAGATTGCATTTTTAAAACCAGTCTATAAAGCCTGCTTACTCAGTATTTGAAACTAGTATTGGCTCCTGGGGATGCAACTCGATTTTTTGACTTTGTCATTAATTCCCTCTCTTAACACCCTTACCTCCAATCAAAGTTCTTGTATTCCACATCAAATCCATAATCTTTATGGTCATGTATATATTCAGCATGTACCACCCTAGAACCAACCCTTACCTCCAATCAAAGTTCTTGTATTCCACATCAAATCCATAATCTTTGTGGCCATGTATATATTCAGCATGTACCACCCTAACACCAATCCTTACCTCCAATCAAAGTTCTTGTATTCCACATCAAATCCATAATCTTTGTGGTCGTGTATATATTCAGCATGTACCACCATAACACCAATCCTTACCTCCAATCAAAGTTCTTGTATTCCACATCAAATCCATAATCTTTGTGGTCGTGTATATATTCAGCATGTACCACCATAACACCAATCCTTACCTCCAATCAAAGTTCTTGTATTCCACATCAAATCCATAATCTTTGTGGTCGTGTATATATTCAGCATGTACCACCATAACACCAATCCTTACCTCCAATCAAAGTTCTTGTATTCCACATCAAATCCATAATCTTTGTGGTCATGTATATATTCAGCATGTACCACCCTAACACCAATCCTTACCTCCAATCAAAGTTCTTGTATTCCACATCAAATCCATAATCTTTGTGGTCATGTATATATTCAGCATGTACCACCCTTACCCCAACCCTTACCTCCAATCAAAGTTCTTGTATTCCACATCAATTCCATAATCTTTGTGGTCATGTATATATTCAGCATGTACCACCCTAACACCAATCCTTACCTCCAATCAAAGTTCTTGTATTCCACATCAAATCCATAATCTTTGTGGTCGTGTATATATTCAGCATGTACCACCATAACACCAATCCTTACCTCCAATCAAAGTTCTTGTATTCCACATCAAATCCATAATCTTTGTGGTAGTGTATATATTCAGCATGTATCACCCCAACACCAACCCTTACCTCCAATCAAAGTTCTTGTATTCCACATCAAATCCATAATCTTTGTGGTCATGTATATATTCAGCATGTACCACCATAACACCAATCCTTACCTCCAATCAAAGTTCTTGTATTCCACATCAAATCCATAATCTTTGTGGTCATGTATATATTCAGCATGTACCACCTTAACACTACCCTGCGTGCAGAGTCTAGTTAAACTACACTCTGCCAAGTAGAGACTATATTACAGTTTAGTAGCCCCACCCCCACGACGGGTACCGGTAACAGTTTGGGTAATAAATCACTTTTGACCTACGCGCTGACCTTTCTTCCACCAATCAGCGAGCTTGAAGAAACATACGCCAAATGCGTTCTAATTAAATATGCGCGTGTCATTGGTCAATTCCGGGCTCAACGACGACGTCAGAAGGACTGACCATATATAGAACGTCGGTCAAATTTGGCCGACGAACACTGATTGGCGCGGTGAGTTCACAGGTTTATTTTAGTTTGAAAGAGTGAAGACGAAGCTCTCTTTTAAGAAGTGAAGTCAAACGAATGCAAAGGGTACCTTAACACCAACCCTTACCTCCAATCAAAGTTCTTGTATTCCACATCAAATCCATAATCTTTGTGGTCATGGATATATTCAGCATGTACCACCATAACACCAATCCTTACCTCCAATCAAAGTTCTTGTATTCCACATCAAATCCATAATCTTTGTGGTCATGTATATATTCAGCATGTACCACCCTAACACCAATCCTTACCTCCAATCAAAGTTCTTGTATTCCACATCAAATCCATAATCTTTGTGGTCGTGTATATATTCAGCATGTACCACCATAACACCAATCCTTACCTCCAATCAAAGTTCTTGTATTCCACATCAATTCCATAATCTTTGTGGTCGTGTATATATTCAGCATGTACCACCATAACACCAATCCTTACCTCCAATCAAAGTTCTTGTATTCCACATCAAATCCATAATATTTGTGGTCATGTATATATTCAGCATGTACCACCATAACACCAATCCTTACCTCCAATCAAAGTTCTTGTATTCCACATCAATTCCATAATCTTTGTGGTCGTGTATATATTCAGCATGTACCACCATAACACCAATCCTTACCTCCAATCAAAGTTCTTGTATTCCACATCAAATCCATAATCTTTGTGGTCATGTATATATTCAGCATGTACCACCATAACACCAATCCTTACCTCCAATCAAAGTTCTTGTATTCCACATCAATTCCATAATCTTTGTGGTCGTGTATATATTCAGCATGTACCACCATAACACCAATCCTTACCTCCAATCAAAGTTCTTGTATTCCACATCAAATCCATAATCTTTGTGGTCATGTATATATTCAGCATGTACCACCATAACACCAATCCTTACCTCCAATCAAAGTTCTTGTATTCCACATCAATTCCATAATCTTTGTGGTCGTGTATATATTCAGCATGTACCACCATAACACCAATCCTTACCTCCAATCAAAGTTCTTGTATTCCACATCAAATCCATAATATTTGTGGTCATGTATATATTCAGCATGTACCACCATAACACCAATCCTTACCTCCAATCAAAGTTCTTGTATTCCACATCAATTCCATAATCTTTGTGGTCGTGTATATATTCAGCATGTACCACCATAACACCAATCCTTACCTCCAATCAAAGTTCTTGTATTCCACATCAAATCCATAATATTTGTGGTCATGTATATATTCAGCATGTACCACCCTAACACCAATCCTTACCTCCAATCAAAGTTCTTGTATTCCACATCAAATCCATAATCTTTGTGGTCATGTATATATTCAGCATGTACCACCATAACACCAATCCTTACCTCCAATCAAAGTTCTTGTATTCCACATCAAATCCATAATCTTTGTGGTCATGGATATATTCAGCATGTACCACCATAACACCAATCCTTACCTCCAATCAAAGTTCTTGTATTCCACATCAAATCCATAATATTTGTGGTCATGTATATATTCAGCATGTACCACCATAACACCAATCCTTACCTCCAATCAAAGTTCTTGTATTCCACATCAAAGCCATAATCTTTGTGGTCATGTATATATTCAGCATGTACCACCATAACACCAATCCTTACCTCCAATCAAAGTTCTTGTATTCCACATCAAATCCATAATCTTTGTGGTCATGGATATATTCAGCATGTACCACCCTAACACCAACCCTTACCTCCAATCAAAGTTCTTGTATTCCACATCAAATCCATAATCTTTGTGGTCATGTATATATTCAGCATGTACTGCAGTGTTGAACATTATCTTCTTGGGGACACATCCTACATTCACCTGAAGAAGCAATGATAAAACAAGGCATTAACATACAAAATGTCACCACCTACCATTTGTTACAGACACCAACCACCAAATGCCAAACTTTGGCCACCGTATACCAACCATCAAACATCATCCACAAAAAGATTCACCTGAAGAAGCAATGATGAAACTTGTAAAGCATTAACATACAAAATGTTACCACCTGCCATTTGTTACAGACACCAACCACCAAATGCCAAATATTGGCCACCGTACACCAACCGTCGAACATCATCCACAAAGAGATTCATCTGAAGAAGCAATGATGAAACTTTTAAGGCATTAACATGCAATATATCACCACCTGCTATTAGTAACAGACAGCAACCACCAAATGCCAAACACTGATGGCTCCCAATTCCTTGGTTGTTTGAGAGTAAAACTCATATCACATTATGATTTATGAACACTTAAATGTACTCATTGGTTGAACTAGTATAAACATGCGATTTATTGTTCAGTCACTTTCTGAGAGTGAGTTCATTCACGTCCTGGGTTTCGTTGATCTTTCAGATAAGGGGGTTGTTCCCAGCCAGGGTTCCAGTCCAAATCCCCCTCTACCCCTCTCACTACACCCATGAATAATACACTATATCGCAGTACTCTAGTACTCTATGAGGCAAGACTACTATATCTAGTAGATGGACGTAAACCTTGTTGACAACTCAGATTACTGTATTCTCTCTAATAAACAAACAGTTCATCTCCCAAATGATTGTCCTCTTTAAAAATGGACGAACTCCAACTAGATAACATAGTATCATACCTCAATGTTTTTTTCAAGCATTTTATTGATCTGCTGAATGTGTTTATGTGGGCTAATCAACATATGTGTGTCATATTTCTATGATAAAACATTCCCTCTCTTATCTTCCCGTGCCATTTTGGGAACTGATGGCCATGGCGGGCGATACACGAGTCGAAATCTAAAGGTTTTCTGTTACTGAATAGCCTTCATAGTTAGAGAGAATAAGTTTCATATTCATTTAATACTACAACACATTTAAAAATGAATGTTTGTGTGTGGGAAAAGGTGGAAATATAATTCTGGATTAGAAGCTTCCATGATGCACTGCAAGTGTCAAATGATTTCGGTCAGATTTAGCGTTCATTACAGCTTTTAACTCATCACTAGAAGGTTATCATGAACGTACTTATAGCTACAAAGATTCCAGAGACATGTCTGTAACAGCATTATATGCACAGAAATGACTCAATCGATAGCGGTAAGTGAATTAATTTTTTCGTGATTTTTGTTACTCAAGTTGACAAAATCTTTCATGAAAAGGTCGGGTTTGCGTTTATTGGAGTATATGTATGTGCCCCTATAAGAGATAATACGGTAGTAAATATAAGGACATCCTCCTTACAGGTGTCTGGAATCTGTACCTCCTTCTTGCCCCCTGCTATAACCAATTTGGAAATGCCCTATAAAACTGAATCACGTAATCTATAAGTATGCGCTGATGACATATGCATGGTTGCTGTCACAATAATGCAACAGCCAATCAAATCGCTAGTTCTTATAGGGGAAATGCTAACTGCTTATCGCAGGGGTAAAAAGAAAGAAGATATTCTGGATTTTAAAGCACTGTGATCGCAGGATGATATAAGGACAGCTAGATTAAACTTTCTGAACTACTTGCCATTCATCTGCTGGTCAAAATTCCTGAGCTGTCGTAGGATTCTATAGATTTAAGCTTACTTACACATGTTCCGCCCAGACGCCCATGTTCAACAATTGCAGCTTTCACTCCAAATTCTGCAGCCCGCCTTGCACATGCCAGACCTCCTGAACCTCCCCCGATCACCAGAAAGTCGAAATGTTTTACGACTGGTGCCATTCTGCTTAAAAATCGTGCACTCATTCGCAAGTTCTTTAGCAAACAAAGTAAGCTCTAAAATAAATAAAACTTTTAATTTTTATTGTGACCTTGAACTTTACACTAGACGGAAAGTATTGCTATACTCTAATTTTATCCCCGGGAATTCAGTAGCCAATGCACGATGGCCGTTATCCGACATGTACCAGAACTGTAAGATAGAAAGCGAAGTGTCGAAGGGAGCAAATTGAAAATAATAAAGACTTCGTGCAAACTTTTAAAATATGTTCCTATCATTCGTTTACTATCATTTACTATTATTTATGACTTTAAAACGGTTATTTTAGACTTTTTTAATTATTATTTAGCCTAATCAACTTCCCGCCTTTTCTAGACTTAAAAGTTGATATTTTTACAACTATACCGTGCAAAACACATTATCTTGTTCATGCCATTGTGAGGATTGAACAGATGACACACTAGGCTATTTCAATAACAAAATGTCATAACCAGTCATAACTAATTGTGGCTTTAAATGCCTAGCATGAGCATATTAAAAAATACTTTGCATCATGATGTCATTAGGCTGTGCTTAGCGTGCAATTTTTTGGGAAAAAAAACACAATTTAAAACAACATGTGAAAGCTTCACGTAATGTGGGGTAAACGGGGGGGGGGATTTGTTCAAAATCAAAATATTATTTAGTTAACCCCACATTTTAGAAAAACTAGCTTAGATAGATTGCTGTCCTGTTACAATGGAATATTTGCCCGAAATAGTGGGAACCGTATTGGCACCCGCAAAAAACATTCACAGCCAATCAAACCCAACCTTATCCCGTTCCCGGACTATAGTCTATAGTCCGGGAACGGGATAAACCCAACCAACTGCTTTTCGAACGGAATACTCTACGCGTTTCAACCCCTATCAAGTACGTTATTAAATATGCAAAAACTAAGACATAAGTAAAAGACAACCATGCGAATACAATTTCCATACGGGGACGACCAGATCAATTGTTTTGAGGGGGTACTTGCATTTATTATATCAAATATACTCCCTGGTGTTATTCACCGCTCGGAAACAGCATATCCTTTGATCTTACCAATATGACGTTTGATATGACGTTTTAAGAATGATTTGTGCATGGAATCGCAATTTCGTTAGAAATATTTGAAACCGTTCGATATTGAAACTTGGATTTGTTACCTGAGACTAACTTGGTAAATAATCATCATTTGAGAAAATGTGATATTAATTTGATTTTTTAATATTAACATCATCGGCTTACTGGCTTACGCAGTGTTGTCATTGAGGGTATAAAATTCATACCTAAAAATTATTATTTTCAGATTCACACAGCATTTTACGTCCATGGTTCTATGTTCACAACGAGAGATGGTCTTCCCCGATGGTCTTGGAACAGTACACTAAAATTCACATCATTGCACTGAACGAAATACTAGGGGGCAAAATTCACATGTGTCTTGGTCGGTGAACAAAATGATTTTGAGTCTCATTATATTTTTGGGGGGATGAGTAGTAAACTTTATTCTATGATTGAAATAGATAAATCCATGGAAATAAAGCTAACTACAATTTAAAGATGGCGACTATAGGACATAGTCTTTGCGATGTATTAGTCACAGCGTTAGTCAACACTTCGGTATGGTCGTGCAGTGTGATTGTACATCGGCAGTTCATTTTCTTCTCAGCCCGGAGCCGTGTTTCAAGTTAAACAGAAAGATGCAATTAGAATGTTCATTATGTTAAACCGTGGAGAAAGTGTCATTCTTCGGACTCTGGTACATTGTGGGGTTTCTAGACAACTCATCCCAAGACAAGTCATCCCAAGACAAGTCATCCCAAAGACAACTCATCCCAAGACAAGTCATCCCTAAGACAAGTCATCCCAAGACAGCTCATCCCAAGACATCTCATCCCAAGACAACTCATCCCAAGACATCTCATCCCAAGACAACTCATCCCAAGACAACTCATCCCACTAGTATAATTGTTAAATCATTTAATTTGTCCTCTATATAATATATATCCCTTTTTCATTTTTACGATTACAGAGTGATATTTGATTATACACGAGTACTCAATCTTAATATTGATAATTTTTACCATTTTGAAAAGGCACTAGAAAGTTATGTTCTACTTTTACGTATCGGTATTTTTATTAATTCTGGGCTATTCTCAAATTCTCAATATATTTGAGAATATAGAATTGAAGATAAAAGTCAAAGACATAATTTCCAAATTCAATCATCATGATTCTGAAAGTTTAAAATTGGAAATCTTATTTAAGAATAAATAAACAAAATATTTTAAAACAAATACTGAATTAATCTGGGAGAATTATTCTGATAATACCCCAGATAATACAATCTTATTGCATTAATCCTAATCTGACACCCTTGATGATCTTTGATTTAATTATCAAAGTATATATTGATTAGAACATGTTGATCTTTATCCCAATCAACCTACAAAAATGAACGAAAACTAGGCTATACTAACTACAAAATACAAAAGATATCATATGGCCAAACACAGTGTGCTAACTGCTAAAATCTCTAAATATGTTTCAAATTCTTTCAAAAGTTGAAATTAATTGTATAAAATTATGTTACATTTCAAGTTGGGAAGAGTTGTCTTGGGGATGAGTTGTCTTGGGATGAGATGTCTTGGGATGAGATGTCTTGGGATGAGCTGTCTTGGGATGAGATGTCTTGGGATGAGATGTCTTGGGATGAGTTGTCTTGGGATGAGATGTCTTGGGGATGAGTTGTCTTGGGATGAGTTGTCCTGTTACCCATTGTGGTACAGTGGCTTCAATGTAGATTTTTTTATTTTTACTGTAGAAATTTTGTCTAAAGTTTAATTTGCTCTAAAGGACGAACTTTAGCCAGAAAATGATTTAGAGCAATACAAAAGAGATGGTGGTTTAATATATAAGGTATCAAGATACTAACATGTCAGGGGCTCCGATCTTATGTTAAGGGTACTGAGTTTCAGTTTTTATAACCAATCATATTCAGCTATACAGTTAACCAGATGCTACTCTGTTTAAAAAACATAGATATTTTAACTAAACTAGAATAATCCCAATTATTTATTTATCCTTTGTATAAAGAAATACACATAGTCTTTCTAGGAACATTTGTATCAGTATTTATTGAACGACCTAGTAGGTCCATATCATATAGAATGCAAAAGAAGGGAGCAATCTTTTCACTCAATAAGTATCACTACCTTTTTTTAATTTTTTTATTTCAGAGAAGAAAAAACATGTTAGAGAAATTGCAAAAGACAATTACAATACATGGTAAACGTACATTTTTTACTCAAAAAAGATTTGATATATTTGATCATTTATTAATGAAAATATGAAATTGAGAAAAACTTTTTCAGAATTATTCCGACGGGCGTACTCCTTTTTTGATTCCAGAAGATTTCATTTTTGCTTAATATCGACAACCCAATGCTCTGGGCACTATCTGTTTCCATTAGTTTACCTGGACTTTTTTTATTGTATGTAGCCTTAATATTTCATTCCGAGTCTCTTGCTACTGACAAACAGGGACTGTATCACATTAAGCGTTAATGCTATCATCGTTTCAAAAAAATCTGGTCTAGATTAAAAAATTTCTATATGTAAATGTCTCAAAAAAAATTCTAGACAGTGAAGTTGACAGTGAATTTCATAGTTAAACTTACACAAACTCCGAGGCACGGTAACGGTATGGTTATGGTACAACTAAGGAATTGGAATTTGTGTAATGCCGTATCGCATGTAAATTCACCCAAGCGTTATATCGTATACGTTCGGAGTTTGTGTAGGTTTAACTCTGAAATTCACTGTTAAGTTCACTATTGTTTCATACATTTACATGTAAAAATATCTAGAATAGACTAGATCTTCCTGAAGCGTTGAAAACATCACTGAGTTTGCTAATTTAGTAGTTTCATCACCCTCATGTCCCTGTTGTACCTCACCCCACACGTTCAACTGTCACGCTTAAAGGTGCAGCAATTAGTGCAGGGGGGGGGGCATTCAACGATCATCGACCAGTGTCAAAATATATTTGGATATTTCTTCAAGACTAGCATATATTTTTGTTATCTACAAAGAAACGCCCTGGATGAAAATTATTTCAGCTATATTCCTCTTGAAACGTGGTCACGGTGTATAACCCAAACGCTCCTACATGCACGACAGAGCGTTTCATTACTGAAATTAAACAAAGAAACGCTCCGGAGTAGGAAAACTGTCTGGCGGGAATGATGAGCCGTCTGACAATTTCCCCAATAATGGGAATAAGAGGTATGAGTTACATATTTCGAGTATACCATTCGATGGGTGTGATATTTATGTTGTACGTGGCTGGCTGTTGACGTTTGAAGCAATTAGGAAGAGCTGTACGAAGCAGTATAGTTATCAAAATTCAAAAACGTATTTGTCATTCTACCGGTCAAAACCCCTTTTGTCGATACATGTGATTAGTTGAGCCAAGATTAGAGCACCAACGTATATTTTAGTCAAATTCCAATGCTTCAACGCACCAAACATTATCGTAATAGTGATTTGATGACCGAAAATCCAGTCTTAAAAATGATGACATTCTCATATTCAAGAAACGCTCCGATCTGGTTAACACAGTGAATTGGAAACGCTCCGGTAGTCTAGATCAGTTAAGGAAATATATAGCTTGCTTTTCCTTTTCAGGAAGAGAAAGAAAAGATCTATTATACGCCTTGGCATCAATAGAAGAAAGATTAATTCACATATAACTTTTCGTTTTTTTCTATAGTTTTATGATTTAGCACATATGTAGGCATGACATCATCTAATGTATAGGCTTTAATCAGCTAGTTGCACGTTTAGCACCACCAGGTTCAGATGTTTCAATTTGCCTAACAAGTACAACACGTTTTTGAGAGATAGATTCGATTCGGAATTCTCTCTAATAATCTGAAAATGATATCAAAACAAAATGGTAAGAGCGTTTCTAAAATTGTGGTCTAAATCGACGGAGCGTTTCGAGGAAAACAAGCGATTTCTCGAGAACAAGTAATGGATTTGGACTGGGATTTTAGGAAATGAGAATATACGAGTTTGTGATCTACTACTTAAACAGAAAGATTAACGTTTTCATAGAAATACTAGATTAATTCGTAATTTGTGGTCAAATCGTTATCTTCAGATTCGTTCGATCTACACTACGGAGCTTTGATCAAGCAAATAACAGTTTACCACCAGAAGTTGAATAAATAAGATCTTTGCTCATGGTATTGTTCATCGAATGGTACATAATATTTCACCATGACATATGATATGTAAGAGAAACGAGAGAAACAATACTTACGGTCATAGTAGAATCTTCATTAGCCGCCATTTTATTTCGCTCCGGAGCGTTTCCGCGTAAATGTAACGCTCCGTCGTGCATGTAGGAGCGTTTGGGTTATACACCGTGGTGGTGGATTTTAAAAATCTATAAGTGGGAGTCCCTTTATTGAAGCTTTGAACTGAACATTTTACACTTCTTAATGCTGAAATTGATAGTTTATCCATACATTTTAAGAAAATAGGTATGTCAAAGAAGATGTTCAGCCAAATATTGACCTGATAGTTCAGAAAAAATAAAAAATTTCAAATTTTCTATATACAGTCCTTGTTGCCCCTTTAATTTGGTAAGTGCCCTGTGAATAGCAAAGTCATATTTGGGGTAAGCAACCCAAGTTAAAGTATTCTAAGATCATAAAGAGGCAAAAGGATTTTTGCTATTTTAATGTTTCGCTCCTTTCACGTGCCTGTGCGGTAATGTACTACTAGTGCGTAGCCCCCTCCCCCTCACAACGCAACGTGCCAATTGTACATATAACCCCATAGTTAGGGCGGCTATGTTCAGGTCCGGGAGGGATTGCCGTTTATAAAGTGGAGAATTTACTTGGGCAAGGGAGCAAGGATTTGACTTCGACTAAGGAGAGTATTGAATTATTTATATTTGTCGGGAAAAGAGGGGACTGCAGTAGCTTGCATTGGATATAAATCAACTAGTTTTTTTACTAGCATTTCAAATAAGTCTATGTACTCAGGCCTAGTTCACCAGCGTAAGCGTAGAATCTATCAGACGGACGTATCTACAGTAAATCAATTCAAGGGAAACTGAGTATTGATAATCCAATTAAGCATTTAATTAGCTTGACATTAAACGGGACGCTAAGAGTTAATCCATACCCAGATGATTGAACGAACGCAATTAGAACCAAGGGTTAATTGCTTGACGCATGCGCATCTCAGTTTCGAATTAGAAATTCTATCATGGCAGGATAGTTACTCTTTAGAAGTCCACGGATTTATCGCAGCTTATACACCGATAGTACGGCATGGATCATGGTTAAACTTACAGCACTAAACGGAGAAGATAATTACGAAGTGATTTGAAAAATATACATGAGTCATAATGTACTTTGAACGACACACGAAGCTGTTTTTATGAAGTGGAAAATACAAGACGGGAACGATATGTGGTTCTATCTATTTCTGGATTTTGTATCGGATATAAATAAGGATTCATATTATAAGACATGTAGATACTCACTGTCTGAAAGTGCTATTTACTCTATACCTTTCAAGTATATTTCCAACAAGGTTAAAATATGAGAATTTACTTCAAAAATGAGCTATCGACCACATCAGAGTTATGTATTTTAGTTCGTCAATTCGACAAAGGATGGCGCTATACGTCACATAGTTTGACATTTATAATTGTTTTGCTTTTCACTTTCATTTTTACGGATATACTTGGTATACACCCCCCTGTCGCTACAGCAACTGGGACCTTTGGTCACTCAAATTGCAACTCCCAAAATTGCACACCTTGGAATAGCAGCGAAAATTTCTATAGCCTAATTAATTGTACTGAATCAAAACGGAGTTTTAATTACCTTCAACAGTGCCTTGTATTACATGAGGAGTACTTCAGTGATGTTATATGTTCTTTAAAACCAATCAAATCTGGCCAAACACAAAGTCATCGTATGAAACGCATAAGATCAGATTTCTTACCACTACCTTTCTGTACAATGTATAACTTCTATAGTGTTATTGGGGAAGATTGTGGCCTAGAAGGGTCAAAAGATGAGTGCCAAAGGTGTTTAGGTGGGTTACTTACAAAAGATGCTGCTGCTAAAAGGGATTATATAGCATTCATTGACATGTTCACTCACTACGACTGTTCAAAAAAGAATAAGTATTCCGTAAAATGGACCTGTGATGACTGCAAGGTAGGTGGCACGTTTTCTAAGCTGGTACTTTTTTAGATGGTACTTTTTTAAGTTGGCACTTTTTAAGGGTTGCACTTTTTTAACCAACAATGTGAGTTGGTAACTTTACTATGTGAGTTGGTAACCTAAATGACACTTTTTCTGTAGATTGGTACCATTTTGTTAAGGTGGCACTATTTGAAAAAGTATTTTTTCATTATGAGTTTATTTATCTTTTTATTTTTATTTTGTTTTTCAAAAAAAGTTGGTTGAGTAGATTAATAATCTTGTAAATGTCGCCAATTAGCTTCTTTAATGAATAAGTATTACTAGCTATTAGTTACAAATAAATGTTTTCAGGCTGTTTTTCCATGATTTCCTGTTTTCCATGAAGTGCTATTTCAATGGTTTCCTATTTTCAAGATTTCCTGCTTTCAGATTAATATGATTGTGTAACAAATAATGTCCTGAGGATTATGATATTTATACTTATGTATTATCTTCATGAAAGGTATCATTTTAAAAGGGCATGCACAAATTGTACTATTTTATGCTTTTACATACATGTATATGAATTATTGATATTTAATATTTCAGAATTTATTACAGGATTTAACAGGAATAAATATAAAATTCTTTAACTTTGAAAGGAATTCAATTTTCCCCAAATTATTACTTAGATTTGAAATAAAAATATCCATTATGTAATTTCAAACAGTACCTTAAAGTAGGTATTTTTACACTGATTTGAGTTCATCAATCTATTTGGTCATAATTACAGTACATTATGGTAAATTGGAACATTATGGTCTAGTTTACAAGTAATGATAATTAAGACATTTGAGTTATATGATACATGTAGTTGCACTAGTAAAGAAATGTGTTACCCTGTACCTGCACATATTCGTTTCCCAGTTTGATTTTTATGAACACATCATACCTTGGAAATCCAAGATGGTACCTGCAGTTTTAGAGTTTAGTGATATATTTAGGTAGATGTATACTTGTTAAAGTATAGTGGTATTTTTTATGTCTTGGTACATTACATATTAAAGTACCATGGTAGATTCAAAGTATTGTAAAACTTATTTAGGTATAAAGGTACTTTTAAATTACAGATTTAAATATAGATAAACCTATTTTGGTATAAATTTTCTTTTAAATTACAGATACATCTTTGGTAGATTTAAAGTTTAGTTAAACCTATTTAGGTATACGGGTACTTCATACTTATTTAAGTATTTTAAATTATAGATAATGGTTGAATTAAAACAAAGCGTAACTGATAAAAATGGTACATTATAGATTAAAGTTAATCTAAATAAAATTATAGATTTAGAATATATTAAGGTATAATGCTATATTTAAATTATAGTTACCTTTATTAAAGTATAATGGTAGATTAGAAATAAAGTTAGAATCATAAAGATATTATAGTACTTTAAAGTAAGTAACAGTTATTATTTGCACTTAATAATAACCAGAACATCTCATGTACAGAGTATGGAGATACTTAATCTTGGAGAAATAAATCTTCTAGAGCCAGTCATCCGTGTAAAAATGGTAGACATTTGTTTAATATAATGACAATATTCATTGATATATTGCATCAGTATATTTTATCATAACTCTGAGGATTGTTCTTATATTTGCTGTGTTTGTCTACCTATTTAGTGCAGAAGTATGGGATTGTTATATAACCTCTCCTGTTAACTTTATTTTTGAAATACCTCTTTTGCTCAATTTTACTGTACCTTTTCTTGTGTTCATCTGATTTAGACTATTACAGTTTATATAATCAAATGTGAATTTTTTCATTAATGAAGTTATTGGCATAGATATGAGACTACAAAGTATCTCTGGACCCTTTTCTCCTGATGCACTTAAAACCTCTTGTAGACACATCGTGGTCCATCAAAGTATTACAAGGTATTTATGACTACTAAAGGAAAATACTGGTTAAAAGTATGTTGTAGACATGAGATATATAGAAGAGGGGGGGGGGGTTACAAGGACTAGAAGCAAGACTCTAATGTATTTAGCCATAGAATTAGAAAAAAGTCTAGAACTTTCCTATAGCCTATTTGAAATGCACTCCCATTTCCTACATATGGCAATTGAGTGTTGCTTTAAAAAGAGGTGCGAAGTCTAGAACTTGATCTACAGGCTTTTTATACTCGTATCAACTCATCCATGCTTTTTTTCAAAGAAAGACAATAGGGCTCGGAAGAAATCCAAGTCTTGCTACACAGGGAGATATGCCGAGCACTAAGATAAGTCTTGCTACACAGGGAGATATGCCGAGTACTAAGATAAGTACTCATGGCATTTTAACGCTAGCTAAGTACTCATTTCAGTAAATATTAGTATTAAATGAGCACTTATTACATGAGTACTGATTTATTGCATGTTTTAGTACTAAACGTTTCAGCACTAAATGAGTACTCATATCATGAATTAGTACTAAATTAGCAATCATGGCATGAGTGCTCCTGAGTGCACTTTTGCCAGAGTGCTTATTTGGTACTAATTTAGTGCTAATTGAGTAATCAGCATATCTCCCTGTGTATACTGCACCAAATTTGCTTCATCAAGCTTTGGATCTGTCCTCGGGAATGTAGTGATTGAGCGTGAGAACGGACGATGGCGGCAACAAGACCCTTCGGATTTTCTTTCTTCTTCAGAAATATGAGTGGGAATGGTGGTGGGGGGGGGGGGCAATTATGGGCTAATCATCATGATTAACTATTACTCTTTAACTCATCCATGGTATTTCCAAGGAAAGCCAAGGGGGGGGGGGGGTGTTCAAGTTGACTATGGGCCTGGCCATGTGAAACACAAGAATTTGATGAGCATCAGAATGCAACTCCATGTCTATTTGATACTACATCACCAATATGTGCCGTCATCAAGGGATTTTAAGAAACACTGCTAAGATTCAAGAATATTATATCGAAATTGCCTAATAATTCAACTTGGCTGGAAGCTAGTCTGTTCTCCCTAGATAACCAAAACAAATGGTCATTGAACTGCTATTTTTTAAGTTTGACATATATCAGCCAGCGAAAACATATTTCCTTAAAGCAAATACAGTGAAACCTGTATATATCCGAATTCCGAACACCTCTCTTATACGAAAACTTCTCAATGTGAACACTTTTTCTCGGTCCTAAATTTGTAACCCTCCATTGACCATTGACTTATATGTTGAAAAAAACTTGAAATGTGAACACCTGCTTATCTGAACACTTTTGGCTGGTCCAAGGGGTGTTTGGATTAAATATGTTTTACTGTAATTTAAGAATCCATTAGCTGAATTTCTATTTTCTATGTCAAAGCCTTTGGGCTTTACACCATTTATAAATGCTTAAAGGTGTTTTTCATAGGTCATGGTATTGCTATAGAATAGCCTTCTTGTTCCAGTTCATGACCAGGCCCGTAGCCAGGATTTGCCAAGAGGGTTCACTTTTTGAAAAATTCCAGGAGGGGTTCACTTGTGACAATTTTGGTCCAAAAATGGCCAAATTCTAGTAGTCGTTGTAGTAGTTAACGGGTTAATCTAAATTGGGGGAAGGGAGGGGGGGGGGGGGGTTAATATGGGTTCATCATTTCATTGAGTCCTTATTCTAAGTCTTGAAAAATTCCCTCTTTATAGATTCTTGTATTCTCAAGAAATCTAAGCTTGTTGATAAAAGGAAATATGTAAAGGGAAAAGTTTGGAATTGTTGCTAAGAAGTGATATTCTATGTTACTATAGTTACAAAGATTTATTTATAGCTTTATGATTTGGAGCCAATCCATCATTTTGTACCTGTTCTTGAAATAGCAAAGCACTTGTATCTTAAAGCACCAAATATGGTAAAAATAGTAGATTCTCTGTGGAGGACATATATGGGCCTGGGGTAAATAGTTTTATATTTTGTAGAAATGTCGCATTTAAGCAATTCAGACAATTGGGAATTTAATAAGGTTTTTGCAAGGAGTGATGTAAAATATGTGTTGCCTAGCTGTTCTTGGAATGAATCCATCAAGTGCAGCCAGTTTAAGAGTAATACAATAAAACCTGTCTCCTTCAAACGCCTCTCTGAGTGTTCAGATTAGTAGGTGTTCATATTTCAAGGTTTTTATGTCACCACCAAGAAGTGGTGACATATTGTTATGGTCTCCGTTTTTGTGGTGGCAGTTGGTGGTTGGGGATCTGCGGGTGGCAGGCGGCGGTTGGCGTCTGTAACAAATTCTTAAAACTTCTAATAACTATACTATTTAGACTGACTTCAATCTTTTCCAAATTATCTACGTGTTTTCAGAAAGTCGAATCTGATTTTATATTTAAGATTTGACCTTCAATAACCTTTTAAGGTCAAAAAGGCCCTTTTTCAACTTGCTCAAATTGACCAATTTTTTTTCAAAATCATCTCCAGACTTAAGATCGAACTAATTATATTGTGAGCAACTAGGTGGTGACATTTTGTCATGTTCGATTATACAGGTTTTCACTATACTCAATCCATCTCAGGAGGTTGACAAATTGAATGAAAACAACAAGCAAAACGAATGAAAATAACAGGCAAATTAAAAAAAATCAACTGGCAAATTGAATGAAAACAACAAGCAAAATGAATGAAAATAACAGGCAAATTGAATGAAAACAACATGTAAAATGAATGAAAACAACAGGCAAAATGAATGAAAACAACATGTAAAATGAATGAAAACAACAGGCAAAATGAATAAAAATAACAAATTAAATGAATGAAAACAACAGGTAAAATGAATGAAAATTACAAATTAAATGAATGAAAACAACAGGCAAAATGAATAAAAACAAGAGGCAAAATAAATGAAAACATCAGCCAAAACGAATGAAATAAAATGAATAAATGAAAATAACAGCCAAAATAAATGAAAACAATGAGTTAAATGAAGGGGAACAACTGGCAAAATGAATCAAGACAACAGGCAAAACAAATGAAAAACTGGCAAAGTGAAAACAAAAGCAAATAGAAATTAATGAATGAATG